ATTCAAAATGACATTTCCCACCAATTTTCAAACTTGATTTCCCACCAAATTTCTCATTAATTTCTCACAAATTCTCACCACTAATTTCTCACAAATTCTCACTCTCAATGAGCACCACATTGACCTTATTTATAGGTCATGGATAAGCATGTGGTGTGATTTACATGACACTAATAATGTCTAAAATTGAGACACATAGAGCATTAGGGTTTCAACACATGGTGCATGGATAATGGAACATATGGGGTTTATGAATAAAAGACAGACATATAGAGCATGAATTTTGAGACACCTCAAAATTGGACACTAACCAAGGGTTAGTGGGCATCTATTTAATTAAAAATTCATAATAAAAAGCAGTTATACTTAAAATATTTCACCTAAAATTATTTTAAATTTCATGTTATTTTATAATTACAAAAATGTGTGTGTGGTACGTGGTAGTTAAAATAAAATAATTTGAAGTTTGAAGCATAAACTGACGCAAGTAGTAAATTGAAGAAATTTAGGTGAAAGAGGAAAAAAAAAGCTTTTGCTCTATAGTGATAAGGGATTAAGCCCATATATAAGTGCGCCCATAAGAAGACATGGGCCCATTTGCATGAGAAATTAGTGGGCCCATTCGCATGAGAAATTAGGCGGCCCATAAAATGGTGGCAGGTTGCGCTAAAGGAAAATAAAAAGAAAGGACGGAAATTAAATAATTGGAGATGCGGGGTATCGATCCCCGTACCTCTCGCATGCTAAGCGAGCGCTCTACCATCTGAGCTACATCCCCATTTGTGGATACAATTTGACATTTGATATAAACTTCCGTCTTATTTCCGTTTTCATTTATAAGACATGTTTGGTAACGTTAATTGTTCCTTGTTTTCAATTTTATTAAGAAACCAAAGGATTAGTAATTATCTTGGTTTCTTGTTTTTCATTTTTTAAAAAATATTTTTAAAATTGTATAGAAATTTTAAAAACAAATTTTTTTGTTTCCATTTTTAACTTGTTCTAAAACTCAAATAAAAATATTTTTTTATTATTCTTGAATTTTTGAGTGTTGCTATTATGTAATTGTATTTTTTCTTTATTAAAAATGAGGAAATAGAAATAAGAAATGAAAATGTTACCAAATGGGCTTTAAAAATTTTTATTTTAGATTGAATATTTTAAATTAAATTTTTGTCAACAATACGTTTCAAGCGACGACATCATCACGTCAATTTAACTGTTTATATAATTTTTAATGTTGACAAACAAGTTCAATCTAAGCATAACTCAACTTATTACACATTATTCAAATTCCTACCCTCACATATTGAACTAAGAATAAAGTATTTGTTTAATTTTTTTTTTTTTTTGTTATGATGAGGTATTTGACATAAATAGTTTTAGATCATTTTAATTTTAATAGTTTATTAACTTTTTTGTTTATTATATGTTAATGATAATTATTTTTAATGAGTTTGAAATCTCATTTTGGCTCCTAAACTTTATTTTGATTCTTAAAATTTCTAATTCTTTATTTTTGTTCCTAAATTTTTAAGTTTATTTTTTACTCTCAACTTTTAAAAGGCATATTTTAGTCCTTAAAATTTGAAAAAGTAGCTAATTTTTTCTTTATCTTTATTTTGCATTTTAACAAATTGATAACATGATTCTGCATTAACACATGTTGACTCCAGCATGTATCGGATTAACATAGGTTGACTAAAGTAAGTATCGAGTGAGCGGTTTCAAAATATTAGCTAACAATTATCAAAATAATTTTTTTATATTCAAATATTAAAATAGACATTTTGAGAACTTAAGGACCTAAAGCATGTTTAAAAGGTGCTTAAGAACTAATAAATAAATTTATTAACCTTTTAAAGGTTGGAGGACAAAAATATAACAAACATGAAATTAGTTTAGTTACCGAAATAAAATGAAAACCTATTTATAAATTCAATGATTAAATGTAATAAATAATTTTAGAAATAAACTTTGTCTAATTTTAACATTAAAATATATATTTCTATATACATTTATCAATATTTAATTAAACTAAAAATTTATTCGCATGCATAATATCATCTTTTTTATAATGGATATCTAACAAAATTCACAAAAAAAAAGGTGAGATCATCTTTCTTTAATTTATTATAATATCTTTTTCCAAAATTCAACACATGCGTGATGTCATCATTTTTTAATCATAAACGATTTCTTCTGATTTTAAGGAGTTACTATTATTTTGGCGAAGTGATTTACCAATAATTTTATTATAATAATTAGAAATATTGTATATTTTTTAAAAAGAATTATGCAAGTGCAAATATAATATTTAAAAAAAATGATAGGCTAAAATATCCTTGCTGCTTCTAAGAGATCTAAGGTTCGAATCCACTCATATTTGTGATATTTTTTTAGAAAAAAATAAATAAATAGTTTCATTAATTATCAAGTAGGTTGTTGATTGTCTATTAATAATATTATTCATTATCATAAAAAAAAAAATAGAGGCAACTCCTTTATATAGCGGTTGTGGCCAAAGATGAATTTACTTATGTTGCATGTGTAACCAATAACTTATATGTGCTAATAGTAGAGAGCGGTCTCACATTCTAGTGTCTCGTATAGGCGCGAGTGATAACAAAACTTGCATGATTGAGATATAAGTTGGCATGATGTTTACTTTAGAAGCCGATGATGGTCCTTTGAGAGGTTCAAGAGAGGGGCGAACCCTTGGATGATCGAGGAGGAAGTCATGTAGTTCAATCAATATTTTCTTTTTAGTATTCTCATATAGTACCTACTCTTCGTCCACACTATAAATTTTATTTGAAATAAAAAAATCTTTAATGTTCGTGAACTTCATATCATTCTTAAATGATATTGACGTGGTTGACAATGAATGAAAGTAGCATCTATATTATTATAATATTAAAAAAATATCCAGGTAGTCTATACAAATAATAACTCATTGATATTATCATTGATGTGTCTTCTAGTTTTTCATTATATTTATAATTATTTTTTAGAAAACCTACTTTTAAAATAAGGTCATAAATGTAACCAATGAAGTTGAAGGTTCTAACAACCCAATAAAGGGTCCATCAGGTGTTTGACAATATTAAAAAAAAAATTGTGAAATTCCAACTCCCACTGTACCATTTGCATATAAATTAATTGATCCAATCATCTTCCAAGTAAATGGGAATCATTCTCACGTCCTTTTCCTCAAGGTAAGCTTATTTAATTTTCTTTTTGGAAGTGCTTAGCTTAGCTTGCATAAGGGGTGTCATTTTCTTCCATTTTTTTTATTAAATAAAGAAAGTGGAATAGTTACACTCACTTTGAACCCAAATTTGTGAGATACAATCTAAAAAAGTAAAATACAAATTGAAGTTTTATTCTAGTCTCTAAAATTTTTTATTTTATATTATTTTGGTACTTGTATTTTAAATAAATTATTGTCGCCCCCTATTTAAAAATAATTTTTATTGAATTTAATGAATTATTAAACCAAAAACATTCTGATGCATGTGATTTAAAATTAAGTTTTAATAATTAAGTTTTAATGATATTGTAAGAAATTTGGATTTAATTTAGTATGAGATTTTTATAATAAAGATAAGAAAATTATCTTTAAATAAAAGAGTAGAACACAAACAAAATATTTTAAATATTAAATAATATGAAAGTTTAATAAATTATAATCATATTCAAAAACAAAAATGAAGTGAAACGGAGATTGTGATGAATCGTCAATCATATTGAAAAGCAAAATATAAAGTGAAACCGAGATTATGATGAATCTTCAACTAGTGTGATAGATAATACTATAAAAGAAAAATGCAATCCAAAAATATTGTTTTTAGGTCCTTAAATTATCCTTTTATATTATATTATTTAACTTTTTTTCTGCCAAGAGCTCATAAAATATGAACCCATAATAAAATTTGTTAAAATAACGAAGATTAATTTTTAAAAATAATTACAAATATGCATTTAAGAACAATAATTCTAAATATAGTATTTAAAAAGATATTACAAATACAAAATTTTTTAAAATAATCACAAAACATTAATTATTTTAAATGATATTATTTAGTATGTTTCATTTTATATTATTCAGGATAGTTATTGATTAACATAAATCAATAATTAATCTAGTTATTACGTTAAATAAGATATTAAAATCTTTTTAAGAAAATAATAGTGATTAATCTATCTATTATAATTATTTAATTTTTATTATATTTGAAATTAAATTTTAGATGTTTATTTGCTCAACTCCCATCGTACATATGGTATTAAAAAGAAAAAAAAAATTAATATTTATTTGTATAATAATATATATAGTTTAGTACAAAAGAAAAAAAGTGAGGTCGGGTCGGGTCGGGTCAGGGTTACCTGACGGGTAGGCCCGAATAATTTGATTTTGGAGCGACATTAAGGCCCATTAATGTAAAAGCCCAAAAGGAAATATCGTCAGCTCTGTGACGGAGGTGACGAATCTCCAACCCCGACCCCGACGACTACCCGCCACCAGTTCTTTCTCATATTCCCCAAATCGGATTCAGATTCTCCATTTTTTTTGTTTTCTCGAGAAAATTTTACCTTCAACTTCGACACTCAACGCTGGCCCCTCTCTTTGTTCTTTCAATTTACCGCTTTGAATTCGAAGAAAAATCAGGCTTGAAAGATCGACCATCCTGGTGAATCAGCATCACCATCATCGCGATATGGTATCCCCCGAAACCACTAATTGGCTGTTTGATTATGCTTTAATGGATGATATTCCTGTTACGGATGGCAATTTCTCTGGAGCTTCTACGGGTTTCTCTTGGTCCATGCCCGCGTTGAATGGCTCCTCGAATGTCAGGTTTTATTTCTCTGTCATTTTGAATTGTTTTTCCTGGTTGATCAGCTTTGTAAATTCTGGTGAATTTTGGTTGATTGTCCTGTTCAATCCGTTGACTAGCATATATTACTGCTCTGAACCCTGCTGGCCCTTTAGTCGGATTCTTATGTGCGCGAAAATTCTCTCCAGTATGCATTTATGGACTTCTAGTTATGATCTAGGATTCGACTATGAGCAGAGGCTGATCTGGGATTTGAGATGGCCATTTGTTTTCATCTATAGCTTTAAAGCAATTGCTGCACCTTTTGTAACTGTAGGCCTCACCAAGTAAAAATTAACTTTTCTTGCACCATCTGATTAGGGAGTTGCTGCAGAAGATTTGGAAGTTGGAAGTTTAAGATTTTGACCTTGCTGCTTCGAGTTTGATAATCAGAAGATTTGTATCTACATCTTCAACTTCCGTTTTCTGACTAAATTTAGGACTATTCATATAGGTAGAACGTAGAAGTGTTGTTACCTTGTGGCACCATGCAAACAGAACACAGAATTACTTTTTTGAGAAATGCCAAGATCCCTGTCTAGTTTCTTCATGTTGTTGGCTTCCTGGTTGAAGCTTGTAGGTTGTTAATTTAAATGGGTCGGTTTAAATTTTGCAGTTTAAATGACTTGTTCATTTAATTTGATCCAACAGGTACTTGTACATTTTCACCCTCTAGTTTGGTCAAAGTCACTTTTTTCTTGTTGACTAAATAAATAATAAGAAATTCCCCCTTTCAAGTATTTTGTCAAACCATTTTTCCTCTTTCACTGGGGATTTAATTGTCCAGTTCTCTTTACTTGTTAAATTTGTTTTTAATTTTTCTAATATTAGCCATTAAATATTCATTTATATTAATTATTTGTTGCAGCTATAGAATGACTATGTACTATGTTGACGTAAAAAAATATAGTTCTTTAAAATAAGAAAACATTATATGACCTTTATTTTGATCTTTTGAAATATATCTTTCCCTTATGGTTTGTACTGTATTTATGGTAAACATGAAGTTCTTTATTACTTTCTTTCACTTCGGAGTATTTTACCTATTATATGTATACTTAGGGGAAAGATATTGATCTAAGTAGGGGGTGTTACTTATTTAACTAACGTCAGGGGGGACTTGTAATTTACTAATCTTTCTAGAATTCATTTCTTCAGGTTTAATTCTCAAATTGTTTAGCTAGCATCTACGAATTTGTGGAAGATGTCAAGTCTGTTCATGAGCGTAGCAATTGCTTCTTTGAATTATTATTCTTTTTAATTTTATTTTAACATGAACACCATTAATATGTTAATAGAGAGGGTGCCAATGAACTTACAGTCTTCCATGATTGTACCCCAAGCCTCTGATATGGAACATTGACCTAATTTTTTGGTTATTGAGTCTTCGAGCTGTATACCTTTTTGAAATATTTTATTGCATCTTATAAAAAATGAAAATAATCTCTTTCTATCTCTCCCATCTGCACTTTTTCTATTTTATTCTCATTCCCTCTGTCTGTTTAATTTTACCTTTTCATAAAATAATTTTTTGTGGTGGTGGTTGATAGGATAGGGGGGGTATCATTTTTGCATTTACTCATTAATCTTTTTGCTCAATCTTTTACTAGTGCGGAAAATGAAGGATCACTGTTGGACTCGGATTGCCTGAAGGAGCCTGGTTCAAAGAAGAGGTAAGTACCATACCAACCTCTTGGCTCTTGAAGATTCTTTGATTGCTAGTTAGTTCCCTACTTTATTGTAATACTATCTCTCAAACGTGTATTTGTTATATTCTTGAGCCTCCAAGATTAGGTGATAATCATGATAAAATTAAGGGAAAAAAAAGAGGAAAATGAACAGAATTAACGAGTTCAAACTTGAATGTGACAAGTGGGTAAGCTCCAGATTGTGTATCATTTAGAAGAATGCATTACGCATTATCCCTTGTGAACATTTAAGGAATTGCACTCTAGGGGTGACAGAATTCTCAGCAGGAGCAAGGCCCTATGGAGAACCAACTCCATTGAGGTGGGGACTTCTAATTTGATCAAGGGACAGAGTTGGCCATGGGAAGAAAACTTTTTTACTTAATTTATTTCAGAGGTGAAGATGAAGAAGGCATCCTTCACCTCATCCAAACTTCGACCCTAACCTCACCCCATCCCTATATCTGAAATTGTAGAAATTATTGTTCATATTATTTTCTAATTGAGAAACAATATTATTTTCTAAAACCAGCTAATCTTTTTATTTATAAAATAATTAAAATAAAGTTTTGGAAAATCTTCTTCAAGTGGAAACCTAAACCAAGAACAAAGAATCTCTGAACTTCTCTTGATTTCTTAAAATCAGCTAATGAGGCAGAGATGAGGATTTAAATTCCTTCAGGGTTGGGGATGGGGGTGGGGATGGAGAGGCCATTTCCAACTGGCACCGCCTTGTTATTATTCTTAGAACCCTTGAAGAAGGAGCTAATGCAAATCGATAAGCTCTTAAGACATTTGCTTTTGGGGGAAATTTTGATGCAGCAATTATATTTTTGTTGATACTCAATTATGTAACTAGAGTCCAAGGAATCTATCTAAATTGAAACTGATACATGTAGAAGCAGTTCGTTTCATCTCTACGAACAAGTTTCTTAACACCCCATTCCCCTGCGTACCCCACCCACCCCAAAGGGAGGGAAAAAGAGAATAAATAACAAAAAAAAGAAGTAAAATGCTGCAGGGTCAGAACTGAATCAAGTTGTGCATCTAGCTCAAAAGCATGTAGGGAGAAGCTGCGGAGGGACAGACTAAACGACAAGTAACTCTCCTCACCTTTCTCTCTCTCACACACACACATTCACACATTCACACACATTCACACACATTCACACAACAATACACATTCATGTTCTCCTAATAGGAATGAATACATATGAAAACTTGGCAGATTTCTGGAACTGGGTGCTATTTTGGAGCCTGGAAGGCCACCGAAGACCGACAAGGCTGCTATATTGATCGATGCTGTTCGAATTGTCACTCAATTACGTGGTGAAGCCCAGATGTTGAAGGACTCAAATACAAGTCTATCAGAGAAGATTAAAGAGTTGAAGGCAAGTCTTCTATAATTATCTGACCAAGAAACTAATGAAAGAGGCTTACTCCAATCTTTTGAGTCTCATCTCCATCTCATTCCATTGCGTTACAGTATTCCACTTGAAAGACGTTTACATGCTCTACAGAATTAGTGATGTAAGGATGTTGATCTGTATACTCATAAGACTTCTAATGGTCACTTTTTCCTCTTATTTAGGCTGAGAAGAATGAGCTTCGTGATGAGAAGCAGAGGTTAAAAATGGAGAAAGAGAAGTTGGAGCAGCAACTAAAATCCATGAACTCACAACCTGGATTCTTGCCTCCAGCTATCCCTGCAACTTTTGCTGCTCAAGGCCAAGCGCCTGGAAACAAGTTGGTTCCTTTCATTGGATACCCAGGAGTTGCCATGTGGCAGTTCATGCCACCTGCAGCAGTCGACACCTCACAAGATCACGTACTCCGCCCTCCGGTTGCTTAATTACGCAGCCGAAAAAAGATCAGGGTGGTTTGGGATTGCACATTTTGACCCCAAACATTTGTACTGATTCTACCATTGTTCTTGACCCTTGTTTCAGAACCTTGTTTAAGTGGATGATATGGTGGATGTTTCTTTGACTGTATTTGCAACTTGTAGACTTTCTATGGAGTTAATGCTGGTTTTTACATGTAAAAATGTGAATAAGTTAATCCAGCTTGTGAATTTTCCATGAGAATAGGCATTATAACGTGCTATTTTTTGCCACTGCAATACTGCTAGAGAGACAATATTCCTGGATGGCTAGTGAACTGTACATATCAATTGCAGCCAATTTATGAAAATATCCTTTTTTTTTTCATTCCACGTTTATTCATCTTCAGCAAGTAAATTTTTACTTTTTTGAGTTATAAATTACTGCTCTATTTTCTTGCCTAGAATGAAGATTAAAGTAGTAGTTCCTAGCATTAAATCAATTTTACTAAGCATTGCTTCTTCTAGTATTTTTGTCGGATAATTTATGGTAAGCCATATATAATTTGTAATTTCAATCATAAAAAATTTAGTAATTAAATATTTAAAATAATATATATTTTGGTCTATTATAGTTAAATTGCAGTAATTTAGTATTGATTTACTAAATACTGCAAACTACATATTTAAACTGTTTCCAAAAAAAAATAAATAAATAAATAAACTGTTTCAAAAAAAAAAACTTATTTAAAATTGAAATTTACTAAACACTAATTTAATATAATTGAAATGATTTTTTAAAATTACAGTTGACAACAATTATTTTAAAAGCTACAACGCTCTCAAACTAAACCTTAAATATGATACAGCCATGTATTTGCCCCTTCTCTATTTTCAGTTGTTCCGTTTTTTGCCAGTTTTAAATTATAAACTAGTTAATTCGAGGATAACTATATACTATCTCGATAGAATATATTTTAACTCCTCTAAGGGTTGAATATGTTTCTATTTGGTCCATGAATTTAAAAACTATTGCTTTTGGTATCTGAGATTTAAATTTAGTTTCTATTTGATCTAATTTAAATAACATATTTGGTCATTGAAGTTTGAATTTAATTTTTAATTGATCATAAAGTATGAGTTTGGTTTCTAATTGATTCTTGATGTTTGAGTTTTAGGTGACCATGCAAATGGTCGGAAGAAGTTGAGTGACGTCATCAAACTATTTTTCCGACGACAAGATGAAAGATGTTTGAAGATAATGCAGATCTATCTTTTATTTTGCTTTTGTAAAGTTGTTTGTCTGTTTGTTATTATTTCGCCTTTATTTTAGTACTTTTTTTAAAGATAAGATTCCATAAGATAGGGGTCTGTTTTATCTTGTCGGCCACCTCTTATCACTACTTTTTAAAAAACAGATTCCACCAAAGAGATAAAGTTGCCAGTTAGGAGTTATGTCTTGTCGACCACGAGCTTATCATTATTTTCTTTCATGTAATCAATCATTGTCTTGGTCAGAGACTTATTGGAGTCTTAGACTACTATATGTATACTCATAAGCCTCAACCAGTAATAAAACACTATCTTGGGTAAAATATATTTTTTGTCCTCAAGGTTTGGAATTAGTTTTTATTTAGTCCATGGGTTTAAAAAACATCATTTTTGATATGTGAGATTTAAAGTTAGTTTCTATTTAATCCTTCGGTTTAAAAAATGATATATTTGGTTCTTGAAGTTTGAATTTGGTTTTTAATTGGTTCCTAAAGTTTGAGTTTGGTTTCTAATTGATCCATGAGGTTTGAGTTTAATTTCTAATTTGTCCACAAGTTGAGTGACCTAACAGAATGATGATGCGACGCTTAACAGACTAGAATTTGCTACTTAGGCCAGAGATCGTGAGTTTGTTCCCCACCCCCAAAATCAACTTAAGTTAAGAACAATTAAAAACTAAATTCAAACTTGAGGGTCTAATTAAAAATTAAATTCAAACTTTAATGACCAAACATGTCACTATTGAATCAAATCGAAATTAAATTTAAATACCAAGAGAAAAAAAAGATTATTTTTTAAACTCAACGACCAAATAGAAACTAAATCAAAATTAAAAGTGTATTTTATCTTACTATCTTCTTCGAGTAGATGATTTTTTTTTTTTATATTTTTAAAGATATCTCGCTCTTCCATCTCACGTGCGTTGAATTAAAATAAATAAAATATTTTGAACTCTGATTCCAATAATTAACGTTCCCAACGAAACCATCCGTTTTGCTAACTTCTTACGCGGCCAAGCAATATTATCCAGTTATGGTTGGATTTTGGAAGAACTCGCTTATCAATTTCCTCTTGTTTTCTCTCATCAGATGGCCACAAATCTTCTCAAATTCCATTTTCAAACCACTGAAGCTGCTACTCCACCATTCCCGAATCTACTGCCCACCAAAAATTGCTTCCCTGTTCTCCCAATTCCGCCCTCTCAACTCCTCCAAATTCGCCATTTCCAGGGCTCCTATTCTCCACCAACTCACAAATTAAGAAGAACCCCTTTTACAGTTCATTCTTCTCTGTCCTCTTCAACCCCACCCACCTCAAAAGAAGAAGCCATTTCGCAAGTCAAGACCTGCCTCAGTACCACACTTGAAAAACCCCTCAACAACATTAGATTTTCCGGCAGGATCAAGAAGGCAAAGCAACCCAGATTCCGGCTGGAGATTCCGGTCATCGATGAATCTCCCAGTTCTCTGGTTCAGCTCGCTTTTGAGGTTTTTGGAGACCTGCCCATTAGGAGAAAAGGGTCCCCTGTTAAAATCTTCATCCTCTGGCCAAACCCCACCTTGGCTGAAGCCGCTAGTAAAGCCTTCCAGTCTCGTTCTTCACACCAAATTGAACAAATAGACATTTCCTCAGTCGATGAATTGGATACCAAAATTCTGAATTCTGCCGACGTGGCTGTGTTTTTGGGGCCAGAATCCTCCCAAATTCAAACCATAAAGACTGTTACAGACGGTTTGTATCCTAAGCCAGTGGTGATTTTCAATCCCAGGTGGGCATTTGAGGAGGAGAGCGAATTGGGTGAGCTGAGAGGATTTGTTGGTTCTTTTGAGGTGATTTATTCCTTCATGGGATTGGAAGTTCAAGGGATTCTGAATAAGAGAAGAGGGGTGATTTTTAAGTGTGTGAGAAATGGGGTTTTGAGTGGTGAGCCATGGAATGTGCTTGTGGAAGAGGAAGGAGGAGAACTGAAGGCGGTTTCGAAGTTCAAGACACGGCCATCGATCACGGAAGTTGAGAATGTGTTGTACAATTTGATGGCCATGAACTCGCCCATCACCAAGTCTGCAAAGTTCTTCAGAGACTTGGTCTCAAACGTAACTGGGAAAAAGTAAGTTTTGTTGCCTACTGTGATCTGATTTCATGTCCATGTCTTGCAGATCACATAATTGCTTCTAGATCTGATTTGACCAAATGTACTTGCTTTTGGAATGAGCATTTTAGTTTTGCAATCTCTGTCGTTCCTTGTGTTGCTTCCAGGAAAATGATTGTCCATTTTGAAAATGACATGAAGTTTGCATGCATAATATGAACTAGGTTAAAATATACTATTAGTCGTGGACTTTGGCTCTTAAAATGTTTTAATTATTCCAATTCATGTTTTTATAATTCAGTCTTTGTATGTAATTGTTAAATCCTTGAATTATTTGCCTTTTCGTGTGCCTCTGGCCCTCGAATACAATAAGATTCTTAGCATAAGGACTCCACCGTTACATTTTCAAAAGTACAAAAACTAAATTGTTATTTGGACTAAAATGTTATTAGAGCAAAAGTACAAGGACTAAAAAGGCATTTTTAATGTATGAGCTAATTATTTGGAATCTTGGGACACTGATGAGTTATTTGAATTTGTCTATGCTCTTCAAGTATTTCCAAATACCAAGCAGGTATTATTTAGTATATGCATACAAAAGTATCTCGCTATAGAGCAAGAAGGAATAATTACACAAAAAACACTATTTAATTTGAAAATATGTTCTCAGATTTTTTCTAAACTTTGGTAATTGGTGAAAGATGATTGAGGTTTGTTGAAGTTATACTTGGCTAAATTATTTGCTTTTGTTGGCGTTGAAGAGTAAAGTCCTACGCTTTGGTATTTATTGTGCCTTGTGTTCTAGATGGACAACATTTTCTAATCTGTTTCCATTGTATAATTCTTATGCAAAGGGTTTCCAGTGATTTCTGATCCAACTAGGCCTGATTGTCATGAGTATTTGTAATAGAGCTATCTTTAGGAATTAGCAGTTCAAGTAGAAATGTAATTTTTTAAGACTAATTGTCACCGACGTTATTCTCAGCTTGCAAAGCCGTATATTTTCGATCTTTGTAACATAACAAAAATACCTAAGTCTACAAAATTTTGAAATGATATAACGGTTTTTGTGTGTATAAGGAAACAAAAAAGTTGTAATATTGAAAGATGGGTATAGAGAAAGATGAGGAGCAAGCAGGATCCGAAATTAAGAGGTGCAGCTATCATCTCATATCCGGTATCAAAGAACTCTCTTGTTTTTCTTCTTTGCATTTACAAGTACTTCTTTATCATCATATAGTTGGAGAAAGTTTCTTCCCAACCTAGGAAGCTCTTATGTGGCAGCTCTTGATAAATTTATCAGAGAAGTTGATATACTTTGTCCACAATGGCCGGAGCTGTGGAAAGGCTATCTCAAGCCATGGCTTTGCTCGGCCATTGAAGTGGATGACTCCTGCAGTCTCCGCATCCGCAAAACTTGTATTCTCTTGATACCCTAGGCCCAGCATATGCCAAAATGGGTCGATGATATGAACGTGACCATGAAATGCTATCAGGCCGGGAGGCAAAGTCCCAAGCTGCCACAAACTTAGGTCTGATTTCAAGTTCTGCATAGAAGACAGTTTTTATTCAGCCTAAATATGTTTGAAGAGGTTGGATGTTGAAGCACAAACTATGGAGTTAAGATTGTGTTAATCCTTTAACAAATGGATTTTTTATTCATAATAGAATTGAGGCTTACCTGTTCAAGCCAGTGATGATATGTGAGGCTTATGTTGGTATTTCTCCATGCCTCAAGATCAAAGATGTTCATGCCATAAGCCCATGCACATTCATTAGGATCAAAATTTTCTGCTATTGAAGGATGTGAGAAGTTCAGATAGCTCTTTAATCGCTTCGACATTACAAATTTATCTTCTCCTGTACATGTTTCCACTGCTCCATTAACCTTCCCATTCATATCAATGTCCCATAAAGGTGAAAGATCAGTTTGAACCACAATGTCGTCGTCCAAGAACACCACCTTCTTGAGACTTGGGAACAACTGCATACAGAATGTGCTGTTGGTGAGCATTCACATAGTAAAACATGAAAGATAGGTCTTATAGGAGTCTCGATGGAATACTTTCTTTGCAATTTCCAAAAAAAATCAAAAGAAAATCTGCTTTCAGAAATACATGAGGGTTTTAAATTATGTTTTGTAGAAATAACTATTTTACCTCTGGTAAATGGATGCGAATATGATTCATCACAGAATTATATTTGGGACTCAGTGCCTGCAACTTTGCTGCAATGACATTAGGTTTCTCAGTCTCATTTGCGACAATGGCGGATGACCCTCCTCTGAACTGTGACCGAACCTTCTGGTCTTTCTCCATTGCTTCTAAAACTGGGACTTTACCCTTTGTAAACCAGTCAAAATGATGCAATGCCTTAACCTCAATAATTGCAGGTGACAAGGAGTGAAGGGAAAACCATGCTTGCATAGGGAAATAAGTCTTTCTATCAGTGATTATATGGAGAATGACTTTCTGTGGGCGTAAAGCATTGCGGACGAGGGATTTTGCAACGACAGATGCAGCAAGCACATTGTCGGTGGCAAGGACAAAGTGAAAGTAGGAATTGTCGACGAGGGCTGGTACAAGTTCTGCGGAGGGAAGCTGGAGGCGAGCAGCTGCATTGGTCGAGTGCTCATTGGCTAGCCTGAGGGCAAGGCAATGGAGCTGCTTCGGTATGCTGCTTGATGCTACGTGCCTGTACAAGTATTCTTGGATTTTGGCAGTTCTGGTTCTTTGTTCCATGAGGCTGACCTGCAAAAAACACATGAAGTCCAAATTACCACCCTTATAGTTATAAAACCTGCAAATATTAATACCTTAGCTAAAATGTTCTTGAAGAATTTTAGACACTGTGATTGTGAAAGTCATGGTTTGTTTCGTAATAATTTTCATAACTCCTTGAGATTGGAGTAAAAATTTCTGGATTCTGTTTCACTTTATTACCCTCATACACCCTAAAACTAACAGAATTGAATATTTTTAGGTGAAGGGTATGTTTCAAGAGGTTGAAGGATAACAAACAGTAATAAACTAAGGGATGAGGGATAATGACCATTTCTCTGAGTTTGAGAGCAAAAGTTTTTGCATCTGGTTTGCTTTCCTTGATCTCAGTCATAAAATCTTCTAAAGTCTGAGGAATATTGTCTAATCTTCCTTGAAGTTCATCTTTGCTCATGGGTTTATCCAATATTTGATACATAACATCTGGAACCTGACCCAAAAACAAACAAAAGAAAGAAACATTTAGTACAAAGTTCATTAACAGTACCTTCACAGATATTGAGATGTGTCTTCAGAGCAGAGGTTTGGAGATTACTTTTGATTCCAATCTGCTCCCCAAAAGTCTTGGGCCTAATTTTTTCCCCAGACAACCTACCATAAGATGGAGAAGTTTAGACTATTAGAAGCTGCCATACTTTATTTCAAGCCATATCACTAAATTATTCATCCTAAATTCCTAATGTATTTGACACAATCATGCCATTAACGTTAGAAGAAGAAAAAATCTTATCCAGCTGTTCTTTAAGAGCTAAGCTTCTAATAAGAGGAAATTAAACTAGATGGGATATTTAATTTCTGTAACTCTAGTAAGATGCCTTGCTTTCCTTATGTTTCTTGGAAAAGCTATTGAAAGCAAATCTGATGATGTAAACTGTGGGAACTGATTTGATTTTTAAAAGATATACTCCAGACAGTTTCCAAAGTTGGTATGCTTATTGGGTATTGGAAGGCTTAAAAGATAGGACAGTAGACAATTTGTGGATATTGAGAGAGTGCAAAGGGAAAAAGAGCTTCTTTCTTATGCTTCTAAAGCTTGCTTGGGTTGCACATTTTAGATTAGGCATAGAGAGAGAGACTCATCAACCTCCTTCTTCCTCTTCTTTACTATTTCTCTCTATCTCCCTTTTTTAACAAAGTTGAAGAATTTATCTTTAAGCATATGCACTGTTTGAAAATGGCTGATCTTGGGCTTTGTTTGTGATAAATTTCTACATTTGATATTAAAATTAGAATCACCATGATAAATTTGAATGTTAGCATTCCTTTTATAGGATAATACTTCTTTTTTGGGGGGGTTCCTCTCTCTCCACTGTAGTTTCTGCTGTATTTCTGCTTTTAACTTTTTGATTTTACTAATGGTAAGACATCCTAGAAAAGAGGAGCAATTATATACTAATGAGATTTTTTTTATTCCTTCGACTCTTTTATTAAACAAATAATGATGACAATAATAGTAACTTATCTTAATTGGGAAATGGATGATCTATCTTAATAATAATATCTTCATCTCCCTTCCTAGCCTTTCTTTTCTTATTTTGTTTTCCTCTGGGCAAGATATTGAGGATTAAAATAGTTAGTTTTGAGAACCTTTTTGCAGACATGTTCTTCAGAAATCCTTTCACCGTATATGTATAATTTTCTGCTACTTCTGTGTTTATGAGATATAGATAGAGAGAGAGGGAGAGAGGGAGAGAAGCTGAGAATGAATGTACCTATAGTAGAACACTTGCTTTCTCCATCAATGGTATCAACTGCTGTCAACACAAACACGAACCGGAGAAGAAAGGTGAAGAATAGAAGCGAATAGATAAGCATTCGACATGAAACCCGCCTTGATCCAATCTTCACTTTGATGTATTCTCTAACACCTTTGCCTGGAAGCACAGTGACATGCCTCAAACTTGGCGATATATGAAGCTGCATTATTTTCTAATAGAACCAAAGCAACCGCTACGGCTAAACACAAATAGAGTGAATCAGAATCGGAATCCGAGGAAAGCAAGCCAGGTTAGAGTTCTTCCCTGAGACAGTTATTTCATTTGACAATCTCCCAAAGAAGAACTGAGTTTCAATTGCAAGATCCAAGGAATAGATATGCTGTTTTTGATGGTGTTTAAGGTTGCTATCTCTTACCTAACCTTGCTTAGCATTTGGGCTAGATGTATCAGCTTTTCTCAGTATGTTTTTTTATTTCAATTCAAAGGAGGAGGGAGAGGGTTGTTAAGAAGATAGAGACATGGGACTGATAAGAAGCTATGTCTGTTTTACGGGTTTCTTTTCGTTTTCCTTTGTTTTCAAGACGCGGAATATAGGAAGAACAGAAAAAAAAAAAAAAAAATTTAACTTCAAACTTTTAAACTTCAAATGTGAAACAGGGCAGGGGGGGGAGGGGTAGGTGTTTGCTTGGCTTTGCCTTCACATGAAGGTTACAATGTAGTCTACAAAGAGTTTGCACTCTGAAAGAACATAGTTTCCAAATAGAAAAGGACTTCTCCCCTTTCTCTCTCTCCTCTCTCTTGGTTGGTCTTTTGGCTGTTGGAGTGAAAATGCAGAAACCTTTTTTTTTTCTTCCTCCCTCTGTTGCATGTTTGCCTTGAGATTAAGTTAATCAAGCTATCACAGGCCCCTTAATTCTTCCTAATCAGACCAATACCCATGATTACTCCATTAAATTTTGTGATGAAAAGTGATTGATCAATTCCATTTTCTGATGATCACTGAGGGAAACTTCAGATTGGATTGTTCCTATCATCAACATAGTGTTTTACTTTCTCAACCACCAGCCTTAGCTTATTATTAAACTCACTTCAAAAAGGAAAAGTTTTCTACAAATTTACAGTACTTATTCTTGATCTGTATTGAGTTTTTTATCTACTTTTACCACACTCCACAGTGTATTAAATTGGTATCTACAAGATTGTATTCAACAGATTTCCATTTTCACATGCTTTCATGAATAGGCTTGAAATTCAGGTGTGCACCAAATTAACCCAAATTCTGAATATTGGGATTTCTTTTTTTTTTTTGGGGTAAATCTGACACATCTTCCCATTGCCAATCCGAGTATAACCACAAATTAACCTTTTTCGAGGTCAAAAGTTCAATTCTTCCGTGTTATACTAAAAATAATATTGCATTGAGAAAATGCCAACAAATTATTACAAATACCAGGCATTAATATTAATTTAAAACTTATTAAATAAATATGAAATGTTTAATTGTTAAATGTTTTTTTTTCATCATCTTTCTAATGATATTTCTACAAAATTGAGATGAAAAACGTGATTCGTGAGGATTTATAGTTCATACTATCTAATCATTTCCAAATTCAATGGACCCAAATGAATGAAATTCACAAAGCTGAGCTGAGATGTATGAATGTTAAACAGAGGCCAGCAGAAGCTGAAAAGAGAGCAAAAAGGGAACTCAGAGATCAAGCAGAACAGTAGCAAACCCAGAAAGAAAATCCATAAAAAATTGAATTGACTTTGAAGAGTTGGCCATGGAAGATTCAGATTTTTATTGCCTAGAAAGAAACTCAGACGATAAACAGATCCATTACAATCTGTAAGCAAATTCCTCCGTTGCACTCAATTTCGAAGAAAGGGCTTACAAAACAGAACAGCGACAGAAATCAAACACCAGTCTGGAGGTCCCTTCCAGATTGCAGAGATGAGTTTGGTTTCTTCAGGGAGCAAGAAGACTTGAAGGCCTGTATTTGAGACTCGCACTTTATACGATCGCCGTTGTTTTCCTGCAAGCATTTCCTGAGAGCTTCAACATCGCATGCCGATAGATTCTTCGTCACAGCCCTAGATTTTTCCGGTTTACCATCCATCGAATTCCAACAAGTAAGCGGAGAAAGTTGACTGTCAGATGCAAATTCGCTTCAAATGGAGAAATTGTAAGAAAATGGATTGAATTTAGGGTAGAGTGATGGAATTCCGATCAAACACACTCCGTGGGCGGCCGAAGGAGTACCACCGCTCGAGCTAAAGTAGAAATGTGATGAAAACATCACAGCATATTGAAAGTATAATAAAAAAATATGGGCAAAATACAGTTTTGGAATGGAAAATATTTGGATCGCTCGTTTCGCAGTCTCAAATTCATTCTAAATCATTTAAATTAAATTTTCTTGGACGTTGACAAGAATCGAAAAGAAACTATATCATTTGGTAATTTTTTATAATATTATATTAATAATAATATAATATTTTAATATAAAATAGTAATGTTAATTATTTAATCAAATCACCGTAATAAATTACAACTTTCAATGAAATTAAAAAAAAAAAACAAAAAACAATTTATAAATATTTCTATTCAAATCTATATTTTTGTTGACAACGAATTATGGCGAGGTCCTCGACGCTGATGTAGTGTCGTGTCTAATACACTCCAACGGTCAAATCAGTAATTAGAGTTAAAAAATATAGATAGACACCTTAAGAATTTCAGTGATAGATTTTTCATTTACTTGGCAACGATGGAGTCCTTCTCTCTTATAGGCGCGGGTGGCCGATTAGGAAGGATGACGATTTTTGACACAGAGGTGTATCGGGTTATACGGGGTTCTGACTAGTGAGGGCAGACATCCCTGACATTTGGTGGATGACACCCTCGCTCGCAAGTATGTGCTCCTCAGCTGCAAATCGTGGGCTACAACGTGCTTCCCATATTAGCTCAGATGACACCCTTGCTGCCCCTCAGCGCTTGACACATCACTTGCTCGGATTCCCCCTCAACAATTTTTAAATCTAAACAAAAAATAATCAATGTTTATAACTAACAAAACTTAAATTGTTAACCAACTTTCACTCATATTTTTCATTTATTTTCTTCTAATTGTCCGGTACATACTTCCTTATTAAAAATATATATAAAAAAACAAAGATAATTAAAAAAATGAAAAATAAATTTTAAACATATCAAACTACCGATCTCTTTGCAAATCCACCATATGTGGAATTGAGATTCTTTTAACCTAAATTAATGTTATAAAAATTGAAATAAAAAGAAAAGAAAAATGATCAGGATTACCAAAAAAATAGAAAATCAACCTGGATTTTGATTGAATGGTGATCCACATTCAAACAAGATGTAGAAAGGCAGAAAAGAGAAAATAATTATTGTAATATGCTTCACAATTTGCGTGGAAAAAATTCAGAAAATAATTATATGGGTGTAAGGTGGAGTGACGCGAATAACTTAAAAAAAATGGAAGATCTAATTTTTTTCTCCTGGATAAATTTGGAACATCCTATCTTTTAATTTCAAATCCTTCCAAATCTGACTAATTTAGAATAGAAATTTTTGGACAAAAAATGTGATTTCAAATAACTTATAATTTCAAATTTCTGGTTCCAAACAAGGGGTTGCCGATTAATCTTGTTCCCACCACATTAAATGTTTGATAATTAATAAAAAGAAATGCAAAAATAAAGACTATATTTTTTTTAATAATGAGTTGTCGATTTTTTAATGTTGTGTTCTAGAATCCAAGTATTTTCAATTTTGAAATATTTATTTTCTTAGATTTCAAAAGAAATACTTTTGATCAAGTTTAGGAAAATGTTCTAAATGGTCTTGAATTCCATTAATTGACTTACATTAAAATTACGTGTTAGTTATTATATTAATTTAATAATATTTTGGTGATGATTGGACATTCTCTCATCCCTTCTCCTTTCTCTCCTCATCCTAGCCACCGCTCGACACCTCTCTCACCACTACTGTCATTGAAATCTTTCCATTGTCGTCATCCAAACCGTCGTCCATGTTCTTCACAACCCTCATCGTCGTCGAGGAATCAGATCTAGACGAGGAACAAGGTATCATTTCGTTGTCGTCATTGAGAAACCAAATCGTCGTTCTTTGTAGCCCTCCTCGCTAGATTTGAATGCAGACCGAAAATGAGGAAGGTTCCTTGTCCAGATTTGGAACAAGGAATTCTCATTCCAAATCCAACTTGTGCGATCTTGCACGAACTCGTTCCAAATCGAGACGTGAGGTTTTGACAAACTTGTGCATGGTTTTCGACTTTTCCTCGTTCCCAAGTGTTTCGGCCTTGAAGATTTAGACAAACTGTTGGGAAAATTAAAACCCAAAACTTAAAAGCCATAGATCAAATTTCCATTTCAATTCAAGAGAATTAATACCTAAGAAGTGGAATTGTACCTTGATCCATAATTGAATGCCGATTGATGGGTTTAATCTTCCAAGTCTAGATCAATCACGATTTTCCTCTGGGTTTTACTCTATATATTAGTAGAAGATGAAGCAGATTCTCTATGAAGGGATGAGAGAAACTGACATGATGATTATACTGACTTGAGAACCATAACCCCTATGTAACCGACCAAAAACCTCCGGTGGGTTACAAAATTTAAATATTTCCAATTTGCCCCTTATCAATTTGGAATTAATTTTATGGTATCTACACATTATAACCATGGTCGTTTTATAATTACTCCGTTAAACCAGAACTTACACATAATTAGATCACTTCTCTTAGTCTAATAAAATAGCAAAACCACATTAAATTAATACATGTGTGGCTCCATATTATTGAAAATTCTAACACAAACTTGTGGGTTTTCAGTGATGGGAGGTTTTTTGATGATGCAAGAAGATATACCGGTGAGGGTTTTTGCAGCATCAGCTGTGAGGAGATGATGGATGACTGTCAAGTTTGTCGGAAGTGGAAGAAGAATAAAGGAAGGAGAAGAGCGAAGGAGGGAAAAAGTCCAATCACCACCAATGTGTTTTGATAAATGATCAAAGTATAGGTAGCATTTTAACTATCATGTCCTTTTAATGTTACCTATTGAAACTAACAATCAAAATAACTCAAAAACTATTTAAAATATTTTCCTAAATAGACATCTATTTCAAACCTCAAGGACTAAATAGATACCTATTGAAACTTCAGGGACTAACCTATTTCAAACTTCAAGGATCAAAAGTGTATTTTACCCTAAAAATATTATAAATATTAAAAAATGGGGCAAAATAAACTTTTGATCTCTAAGGTTTGGTGTTTATTTAATCTCTAAAGTTTCAAAAGCGATATATATTTTTTTGTTAGATTTGAGAAATGGTTTTAAATGCTCTCTTAGCTATTTTAATGAATAACGTTAAGATGACGCGACTAAGTTAATACTTATGGTGATTGTAATTTCTCTCCATTCCCCCTTCTCTTATCTCTCCTTCTCCTTCTCTTTCTCTTTTCTCCTCAAGGGAGGTCACCGTTGTAGTACCGTCGCCAGTCACTCATCTGTCGGTGAGCTGYTTGCTTGCCCTTATTGTTGCGCCATT